TCACTATTGTGATTGGGCTGGCAGCTCCAAAGGAATGAAGTAAGCCTTCGTTTTTCTTTAATAGAGAGAAGCAAGAAAGGAAAGAAGAGAAAAAGGAATAGCCAAAAAAAAAAAAAAACCAAGTCGTCCAGGACAGCATGGCTTACGACAGTTTTCCAGCGGCTTCATCAAGTCTTTGCTCCCCAAATTCGCCGCGGCGAACCCGCAAATCGAATTCGCTCTCTCGCCCAGACCCGGCAAACACCCGGTCATCATCGGTCATTACATAAATGGACGCACCAAGCCGATTTGTGTACGAAATCTATCGCCATACGAGATCCTACAAAAAATTGAGCTATTACGCGACGCGAGTGGTGAGAAGCTGAAGAGGACGAATAAGGCAGTTACGAGTACCAATTCCAGTGTCAGAGGCATTTGGTCTCCGTACCACGGAAAGGGCATGGTTGTGTAGAATGGTTCTTCGACTTCAATTCTCAATGCGAAAGCCACACACAGCTTGACCTGGGTTTTGGCAATAAAAATGAAAAGACGTTGCCGTCTTTGTATTATTGTATCACAAGAAGGAGTATTATATTGATGGTTCCAGCATAGAGCGGCTGGAATATCGAGGGCTTTCAAGATCATATTTGGGCATTTACACGAGGAGAGGGGAAAAATTTACGAAATGAAATCCGAGGTAGTCATGTTCCGCGAGAGTCTCGCAAATTCAAATCACACAAATTAGAAAACAAGAAATAAATTGCAGAATCAGGTGTCCAATGCGTAGGTTGTTGTTTGTTCTTTTCTTCTCTTGAAGCGCTATGTTCTCAGATCATACTCACAGGATCCAGGATCACATAGAATTAGTTAGAGCATTTGACGTAGTTACTGTTTCTTGCAGTTGACAATGTCGACGACTGTCGTAAAAAACGTCAGCGGGTGCATATACGTTTCAGGCATTAGATTGCATTGCAGAGCATGGGAGAATGAAGACTTACAGCCAGGCTTGAGAGAAGCGCCACCAACCAAGAAACCATCGATATCGGGCTGCTTGCCGAGCTCTCCGCAGTTCTTCTCATTGACACTGCCGCCGTACAGAATGCGGGTCTCCTCAGCCACCTTGTCACTGACACTCTTGAGCCAAGCGCGAATGGCCTTGTGTACTTCCTGAGCCTGCTCAGTTGTAGCAACCTTGCCAGTTCCGATAGCCCAGATGGGCTCATAAGCGATGACAATCTTGGACCAGTCGTTGATCTGGGCCTTGAGGGCCTCAAGCTGCTTGGTCACAACATCGACCGTCTTGCCAGCCTCACGTTCCTCGAGGCTCTCTCCGCAGCACCAGATGACACTGAGGCCGTTCTCGGTGGCATACTTGGTCTTGGATGCGACAACTTCGTCGGACTCCTTGAGGATGGTGCGGCGCTCGGAATGACCCAGGATGACCCAGTTGATGTTGCTGTCTTTGAGCTGGGAGACGGAGATTTCACCCGTGAAGGCACCGTTTGGCTTGTCGAAGACGTTCTGGGCAGCAACTTCGACGTTGGAACGAAGGGTGTCACGGACGAGCTGAAGATAGAGAGCGGGAGGAGAGACGACGACCTCTGATATCATGTTAGTAAGAGGTGGTAACGTTCAATGGGCGATGCCCAGGCGCAGGGGAGTCGCGTCGAATGGCGGACGGATGGGAATGATCATGCAAGGATGGTACGAACCGACATCGGCATCAAGGCTGGCTTCATTCAGGTTTTTGACAATCTCCTTGATGGACGAGACAGACCCGTTCCTAGCATGGTGTATCAGTGACTTGTTTTTTTTTTTCCTGTTCTCAGATCAAGAGTGATATGCCAATCGCATAGACGTGCTATCGAGCTGCGCTGTTTGGCTCCTGTCTCAAGGCAGTGCCTCGCGCGGGGCATGGAGGGGCAGCACGCTCGCAGCTTTGTTGGATTCAACTCATTGATCTGGCCTCTCTCTCCCACTCACATCTTGAAGTTGCCGCCGACAAAGAATTTGCGCGCCATTTTGAGAATACTGAAAGTGCACTGCTGTTATTGGAAGAGGAAGAAAGAAGAAGAAGAAATAAAATCGAGAGGCGTATATTCCGAGCTTGCGGCAAGTGTAGTTTTGAAAGGATGGAGAATGGGGACAAAAGGTATGAAGATGAGGGACCTTTCGTTGCGGGATCCACATGTGCTCAAATGCTGCGCGCTTATTCGTGTCCCAACAACGGAACGGAACCAGACGGTTCTTGGCCACCGTAAAAAACCGTCAGGTGGTGGCATGTTTGGGACATTCAACCCTGATGTCTGCAGGTCTGGCGCAAGCTCAGTGGGGTTGTTTCAGTTCAACTCACAAAAGTGTCGGGCCACTCCGTCTCGCAGCTTGAGATCTGGTTTTTTTTTTTTTTTTTTTTTTTTTCTAAAAACGATTTTCATTCTTATTCAAATAATACTAACAGGAACAAAAAACATACAACATCTCTACACTCGATTCCACAGACGCGTCCTCGAAGTTTTACATTGCCATCTGATTAGGCCGAGTACCTCGAGGACTCAACCCCCCCCCCACCTGGACAGGTTGGTTCAAGTATCACAACCTCCTTTGCTCTCTCTAGCAGCGCTCACGACTTCAAGCTGGCCCATATGCTGGGAATTTCCCGTAAGAACCGTCGCAGGCTTCGGTTCTGAAATATCCACCATCCTGGCCTGTCAATTCCGTACCATTTGGAGCAGCTATCTTCACAGACATGGCAACGTTGCCTCCCTTGTCACCCCAGGCGACCCGGACGGGATAGTATGTGCCTTTTTCCAGGTGCCTGACCGTGTGAGTTTCATCACCGGGAGGAGGGATATAGGTTCGCTCAATATCTGCATTGGCTCGATTCCAGCCGGTGTAGGCGTTTTGTCCCAGCCAGACGAGAGCAATGTCATCTGCCTGTCCAAAGGTAAAGGTGTAGTTGCCCGTCTCAGGCGCCAGGAGGAATCCTTGGTGAATGACGCAGGCCAGGTTTGTGCTCACGGGCTGACCGTAGAGGCTCTTGGGGTCGTTGATGAGCAAGCTGTTGGTTCGTCCTTCGTTCTCTGGTTTCTGGACCGTGAAGGAGGTAGGGTCATACTCTGCAAACGGCGGTGACTTGACGGTTCTCCAAGTTGGAGGTCCTCGCCATTGTGCCCATTCGAAGCCAGGCTGTCCGCAAGTTGGTGGTTTCGGCTTACATTCTCCATCCCCACACAGCTGGTCCGCGCCGCAGTCGGAATCGATCGAGCAAGGGCTGCATTTCTGGTCCTTGCAGATCTGGGTTGTCTTGCAGTCCGTGTTCTTGGTGCATTCTGGAGGAGGATTCGTGGTCGGGACGCAGAGCCCTTGAACGCATTCAAGGCTATCGCCGCCGCAGTCTGGATTGGCCGTGCAAGCCTCGCATCTGTTGTTTTTGCATACTTGACCGTTGCATTCACGGTTATGCTGGCAGGCCACAACCGCCTTGCACATCCTGTTCTCGCAAATCTGGTTCTTGCCGCAGTCCTCGTCCTTGGCGCATCCGCCGCAATTTTCTTTGCACTGCATCTCAACCACAATATGAGCGCTGTTGGCACATTCGCCGAGACCATCAATGTACTAATACACGTCAGACTGAGCACCAATCCGGCATTTCTCTATCCGGAGGTAAATTTTGTTTTAAACAAGTACCTTCTTGAAGGGATCACACAAAGCACCTTTCAAGTCTTTGTCATCGATAGGCGTCTCGCAAGACTCGGAGCATAATTTCTGAGAAGCCATGCCAGTCAGTATGGAGAGCATTCTTGCAAAGTGACTGTTTGTCTCCGTACTTCGATATCTGAGGGCAAGCGGTCCAAATCACAGTCGTGTCGCAGCGACTTGCATATCTTTCCCAGCACAAGAGTGTTTCGAGGATACAACGCAGACTTTGGTTGCAATTTCTGAGCCATGCCGCCCTGAAGCGCGAGGGCGACAAAGATATTGGCACGAAGAAGTGATATTTTATTCATAATGTCAAAACAAAAGGGCTTTCGGAAAAAGTGTCAGGAAGTTCTTGGGGTGATAATGTGCGCTTTGCTGTGAGTAGTGTAATCCGCGAATTCATGAAGGCAAATGCCTCTGGTTTTAAATCTTGGCCTTGTCTACGGCGTGACAAGCTTTGATACTTTTTTTTTTTTAACTTTGCGTTCCTCTTTTGTCTCTTCGGTACACCCACATCACCAGTCGAGAAAGAAGAATCGAGCAGCGAGGACCTGCAGCCGAAGTGTAACAGCTGAACGATGTCTCTGACTTGTTTGTGTATCGTTTACCGAACACGGCCGACGTTGTCTGCAGGCTCTTGGAACAGTACCACACAGTAGAATGTTCTACCAGGGGTGACGACGGCCATCCAAACTGGTTCATGATTGATCAAGATCTCGGCTGGGAGCTGTCTGCAGCAAGACAATCTTGTCGTACAAGATCCTGCACTCGCACCTGCATCAAGAGATATAGATGCGGCAAGTTGAAATCATGTCTGGTTTTGGGTTTGCCCCGATCAGGCAAGATGTTTTTGCCCATGACGTATTTGTCTCTTATGTGAAATCTCGACTGCTAGAGCCTATAACAGTGATTCGGATGTGTTGCAAGAATTTTTTATTTTTTGTTTCTAAAAGAGCATGATTCGCGACATTGGGTTGCCCAATCCAGCAAATTTGCACTCCGACAGTCTATAGACGACATCTAGGGAAATATTTGCTTTCCTTGAGATGGCAATGCAAATGGTAGCTGAGGTGAGACAGCCTCGCTGAATTTTGTGTCTTCCCACAGCCTGTTCTGTATCGGACCGAGAATAAGAGAGCAAATATTTATGCGTCAAGTGTTGTGGTCTTTCCAACCTGGAGGCACATGTGCATGCTTCAAGGCCCGACAGATCTGGTATATACAGCTGGTTGCGATTGCGACCAAAAGTTGAAAAAAAAAAAAAAGCTAGACGAAATTTGAAAAGCTTTTCAAAAAGAAAATCCCAATCGAATGTTGATAGTCGACCACGCCAGGAGTCGAACCTGGAATCTCTAGAGAGTTTGGTTGAATGGGTGAACCGAAATCTAGCGCCTTAGCCATTAGGCCACGCGGCCGATACAAAACTGCACTGCTAACACCGCATATGTATGGTTTGCTCCATCGTGTCTAGTGACGACATTGAAGTTCATTTTAAACATATTGCTAGGCCTACTCGGCGCTCAATGGCACCAATTGGCATGGCATTGGTCACGCCCATGTATTTCCTTAAGCTCAGAATAAATAAAGAGTTTCTTAGTCACTTTAATTCTTTCTTCCTGTTTTTTT